GGTCTAATTTAGCGCAATAGAGGGCTTTACTGCGGCGAAACTCGAATTTGAAGGGTTCCTCATTCGTTCCTGGCACTGCCAGGCCGGTATTACAGCGAGCGCGCAGTAGCCGCCCTGCGCAGGCGGAGTGCCCCCGCCGGCCCACATCCGCACCCGCCCGACGTCGCTCACTACTGACACCGCCGGCAGGGGCTCCCTTGATGGGCACCTCTATCGTCGCCGGAAAGCAAGGCAGCATGCCAGAGTGGTTAATGGGTAAGACTTGAATTAGTAATCAGTTCCTATCTTATGACTTCGGTCGCGCAGGTTCGAACCCTGCTGCTGTCGCATTACATTTTTTGCTGCTAAGAACAATTGTTTTGCATCCTAGTGCAACACGACTCGCTCCAACGTTCGTTCGTTCCAACACTTGATTGGGAATGCGACAGCTGCCTGAATGCTTGTACGATCAACAGGTTCACAATATTTTTATCAACTTAGAAAAAAAGAGAAACACGTCTGTCCCATCTGGTTTTGCAGCTTGCCTGTAAGTAATAATAGACCCGAAGCATAACTCTGCTAGTGGCGTGCCCCAACCAACCATCCACGTTGGAAACGAGATAACAAACAGTTCTTCGGTGATAGTGATGCGACGCCACATCATAGCCATCTCGGACTCTCATGAAGCGGTGTGTGTTGGAAGCCTGTATTCGATCATATGCGGACGCCGCTGATATGCCGTCGCACTGAGGCGGCGCAGCGACAAGGGATAGGCGACCGTACCCGACCCCGGCCAGGCTCTTCGATTCATCCATCTCACTGACTTAATTGCAGCCGCACAGCACAGTACCTTTTCGGGTTGACTTGTATTGGTCCAGAGTTGCAGACGCAAGAAACCTCCAGCGCAAGTACTGAGTACCCGGGCGGCAGAGAGCTCGTTCCCAACTTCCAACAGCAAGGGAAACTCAAAAATCAATCAAAACAAGCCCAGTCCCGTCCTGTCCATTGAGGAATTGCTGCACCAGAGAACCAACACACTCGCGCACCCTTGTCGCCGCCGATGGGAATCGTCACCTGAGGAGGGACTTTGGTGGTCTCGTCTCCACGGCTTCCGGTCCCCTTTTCCATGGCATGGAAGCTGAGTAGATGCAACTCGATAGCAGCTCATCAGCAACTCCGACATTGCCTGCGTCACCCTCATTGAACGTGTCATCCCATATCGAACGTTGCAGAGCGGACCACGGAGCATTCACTGTACGGTCCAAGGGCATAGAGCAGAAAGAGATGCCCGCATCCCCTCACCTGAAATCCAATCTCTCTCTCGCCAGTCATCAATCAACTTTTTTGACTAACCTGAACCCGGAAACTCGCGCCCAGAAACTCGCACCCTGGATTGGCTGCCAACCTAAACCAAAAAGGATACGATTGCGTGCCCTCTCGCACCCCTGCAGCCCAATTATTCTCTCCCAAATATTTTTTTCCCTCATCCTGCTTGCTCCTGCCAACTCCTCCCTTCGATCGCGCCTCATTTTTTTTCTAGTGAGCTTTTTTTCCCATGTGACTGCGAACACAAGTCCCCCCTCCCCACCCCGTCATGCAACCCTGTTTGCTCTGAGAGGCTCTCGGCATGGGCTGTAACTGATTTGCTGTGCAGTGAACCAGCCCAGCCGTGCAATTCATTTATCCGCGCAATGTTCTCGTTTGTATGAGTGGCTTCAAAGTAAGATTGTATACCGTCGAAACTTACGTATGCTTCCTTCCTGATTTGCGTCTCATCGCATCCGACACCCACCACCACACCCACCCAACCCAAGCACCCCCTGCAACTCGATGCGTTTTGACAGGCAGCGCGCATTCACTCCCACGGCACTTGAGACCCCTTCAGGAAAGTGGCGAGCAGGGCCGGCGGGATAGTTGGTTTAGCTTAGCAACAGAACACACAAGACATGATTCTCTTCCTGAATTTCTGCTTGACTTAGATTGCGCAGACGGTTTGGCCAAGACTTGCTGCGCGCCGCGGCAGAACGCAGGTGAAACTTGTGATTTATGCCAAAATCACGCGATTTACGTGAGGAACTTTTTCTGCTCGTCCAACACAACCCGATGCAACCAACCAAGTAACCCGAACACAACCTTGACGGCGTTGAAGATCTTCGCTGCAGAATGCGTGTGTTGTGCCACTGTATTATGTAGGTAATATGTAGCCTGTGTAACGCATGTCGACAACAATAGCCTTGATTTAGCGTAACGAGATATTTGACGAATGATTCTGCGTTGCGGCCGGCTCAGATCGTTTCCTGCCTGGGCAATTGTCCCACGTGTGCAAACAAACCGCCCTGAGAAAAATACAGCCAGTTGAGAAGAGGCCAGCTTGCAGAGTTGAACCACGATGGCGTGCTTAAATTCGCCCATGACTCATTCTGGCTTGAGACAATATAGCAGTTGACGATTTGTGGCTCGGAGGGTTATCGAGTTGTCCGGACCCATGTGAATGATGAACTCTGTTGATTAGGACTATGTCGAAACTTTTGAGGATGTTGCCACGATGCTGGAATCAGCAAGACAAGCTTGAAGCATCTGAGATGATGAGGGTGATTGAGGTTTTCAAGTCATAATGTATCGTCATCTATCGTCTGGAGCCCTTCTCTTTAAACTCAAAGCCGCGAGGCTGTCTAGTCATCGCGCACAGCTCTACTATGCCATGATGTTGGGTATCTATTTCAGGCCGTCTGATGATCCATGCAGCCACTCCGTCTTTTCTCCCGTTTGTCTCCGGTCCTGGACCCGGACTCTTTCACCGACCCCGGCCCCGTCCACCGCCCCGTCCACGTCCGCGACCGCCGCGGCCGCCTCTTCCGCCCTTTCCACCTCGGAACGCACCCTTGTCGAAGCGCTCATACAGCTGCTCCTCCCCAAATGCCGCCTGTCCGAATCGCATAAAGTTGACCAGTCCACGGTCGACCACGGCGATCAAGACGTTGCGGTGGCCGTGCCTTAGGCGCTGGTACATCCTTCCCGGGCCGGCCATCGCGACGGGGTCGGGCGGTTCATAAGGCGAGGCGCCCAGCAGCGCGGAAACCTCTTCGAAGGAGGGCACGGCTGTATCCCGTGCGTCCGCGACGGCAATGCGGATATCGGGCGGCGGCAGGTCCGTCACGCGGATGTTGGGGTGCTTTGACGGCTTCCAGACGTGCCAGCACACCTTAAAAGGGTCCTCCGGCTCTTTCGTTTCTGTCGGGGCCGTGGGCTTGTATCGTGACAAGAGCTCAAGCTGCTTGTAGATGTGGGTGTACTGGCGGTAGACGCCTGGTCGAACGAGAGGCCCGGAGGGTGCGGGCTTGGCCGGGGCGCGGTCCAGCAGTGAGACGAGCCATTGCCAGAGAGACTGTTTCGGTTGCTCCGGTTGAGTTTGTTGGGACATGGGATCTCGTGGCGCACGTTGGACATGATATCCTAAGCGCTTCAGGTGTGAGTAGACCTGGTATTTCGGCAACGAAATCTTGCCCCTCTCGCCGTCCATCCCGATGAAGAGTGAGTATGCGGCTTGAAGACTCAGAGGCAAGCCAACGTCGAACTCATCCTCGGATTCCGCCCCCTTCTCAGCATCTTCCTTTTGTTCCTCAACCAGCTTCACCTCTGGCGGTGGCAGAATGTCCTTCAGCTCGCGGAACGGCCACCAGAGCTCCAAGCTACCCCTCTCAACCAGAAACAGCGCCTCTTCGGGCAGGAGCCACAACTTTCCCACCGCCGGCCTCGGCGCCTTGAGCCCTCTGATGACACGTCCCGTGCTCTTCGCCTGAGGTCCCTTCAGCTCCTCGACAACGACGACTCTCTCCTCAGCGTAAAGCGGTCTCGTCTCGGCCAGAAACTCCTTCAGGTACTCTGGCTTCGCGAGCCCAGAGGTATCGCCGCGCTCCACGATGCCCTCCAGCGCCTCCGGCCAGTAGTCCGGGAAGTACCAGCCCTTGCTCCACGCATCGCGGTGCACGCGGGTGTAGCTCAGAACCTCCTCGATAACCTGCCGACTCGCCTCGAGCTGGCTCTCTTGTGCCTTCGTACCGTGTGACTCGAAATCTTTCTGGCCCTTGCGGATGGCCTGGGTCGCGACGCCCTTCTTGTTGAACATGGAGGCGAAAAGGCGCATGTCGAAAATGCCCTCGTCTTCCGCTTCGTCGCCGGCGCCGGTCTCGTTATTCGGCTGGGCAGCGGGCGCCACGGTCGGGTTGTCGTCGTCGTCGAGCGGCATTTTCGCGGTGGTGATGTCGGAGACGATTTTTGGTTCCGTCAAATTTGACGTCGCCTGGCTCAGGGCATGAACTCTGCGATTGACCTTCCCTCCGTCTCCGTAACGGGTCGTGGGGTGCGAATGTTCGCGCTGGGGTGTGAGTCTTCGCCGATGAACCCCTCCAGGTCGGAAAATTTTGGCCCAGGCGCGGTTCAGGGAGCTTGGGCCAATGGAAATAAGTTAGCGGGTAAGAAGACCACTGTTAATTGAGCCTCTGCCAACTCATGTCAGGCATATTCAATTGTACTATGATGAAGATAAGCGGTCGGCCAAGCTGAGGTTTTCTTCAGTTGATTCATCACTCGACTTCTGTCTTTTGGATTTTCTTTTCAAGCTACATTCTGAAATGTTGTCTTGTGCCTGAAGTAAGAGCGCGCCGGTGATTGAGATGAGCGCTGGCGCGCTCATCCAGGTCAATCATTAGATATGACATCGAACTGCTGAAGGTTGTTTGATTATATTACAATCCAGCCATCTCTAACGTGATTCTTGGTTCATAAAGGAGTGTATTAAGTTCTGTCCGGTTCTGGTTGCAGAGCCAAATGAGCCCAAGGCGTAACATAATAGGTGCATCATCATCACACCTTCATAAACACACACCAGAGCCAAAAGGACCAGCCCTTTCACTCAATGTACGTTGTCGATGGACAAATGAATCAAAATGGCACAGAAACAGCATAGAAGATCCCGCTTGAGCACCCAAAAATTGAAATCAAATTCGCAAAAATATGTGCGCTGATGGAGACGAGATTCGAACTCGCGAGGTTTCCCACTGCGGTTTTTGGTATTAGAGGAACTCTAATGACCTAAACACAGCGCCTTAACCACTCGGCCACTCCACCGAATGAACGATTGATGAATTGCGGGGGAATTTCTAAAAATAAGTAGGTTTAGTGTGGCGGGTTGGGATGTCGGCCACGTTCGGGTGAGCAACCCGTGCGGGTATGGGTGTTTGACAGTGGGGTACCGGATAGCGCTAAGCCATGTGGGGAAGGCCTTAGATGAACGTTTCTAGCGTCTAATTCCAATCATTCTGCCTTCAAAGTGTTGTTTGTACATAACGTTCAAATGCGAGCGATACACAAGAGGCTTACCAAAAACAGCGTGACTTGCGAGGGCCCAGCAGTGTTCAGCGTGATCTAAATTATTCTTTCTTTACTCACGAGTGTCCATCCAGGAGCTTGGTCTCTCTTATTCTCAGTAGTAGACTGACTAAGTGAACTATCTAACGAAATGAGCCCACCAACATGCCACGATATTTGAAACAAGCAGCAGAACAACAACGGGGGTAAGAGCATGAAAATGGTATGGCACATATGTGACAAAAGTTTTGTGTTATTTGGGGATGCAGAAAAGGTTCGTATCGATAAGTTAGTGGCACTCCCTTACCATGGGATTTCAGCGCACTGAAGGAGACCACGGCTCACGCCCCATCGTCAAGCAAGGTCGTGAATTCTTCATATTTTGTGGCAAGCGCAAACGCTTTTCATTGTCTTCCAGCTTTTGGTTCGGTTATATCATATATTCTTTGCGTGGACCAGGCCCAGCGTTCAGTTTGCCTCATACTGTCCAGCCCGACTGACAGCACTCAGATCAACGGGCAGCATAGACTAAATACATTTTGAAAAGCATCACAAAGCTTAGTATTATGAAACCTAGTCTTGAAATTTGCTGTCTTCTTATTTAAATTTGTGACTGCTTGTAGAATTCAGCTGGACTAATCGGTTTAAGGTCTTGAAAATTATTAGCACCAAGCCTAGGAGGAGTGACGAAATGCTGGGGTTAATTGCTACTGTAGCAACTTCGGACAGACGATTTTGAATTCGCTCTCGCGTTGTTACTACGTGGCTTGTTATTCCTATTGCCTTTATTGTCCTTATTACCGTCCTCGTCGCTCTTATTGTGAAAACCCCTGCTGGATGGGCTCGAAACGTTCTCAACATTACTGTCCTCGTGACCTCGTCGTCGTCGTCCTCGTCGTCGTCCTCGTCGTCGTCCTCGTCGTCGTCCTCGTCGTCGTCCTCGTCGTCGTCCTCGTCGTCGTCCTCGTCGTCGTCCTCGTCGTCGTCCTCGTCGTCCTCGTCGTCCTCGTCGTTCTTGTTCCCAACATTGTCCGTATCTTTCTAGTTATCTTTGACCGCACAGAATGTACAACTCCGTTGCAGAAGTGACTGGAGGCAAGCTTTTAGGCTAGTGGGAGAAAGGGGCGAGGCAGCGTATGTCGTCCGTTTAAAGTCCTGTGCAAGTCGGTCACAGTCACAGCCAAAATCACTCACGAGCTTACGTTTTCATTTGGAATGATGCAAGATAGGTATCCATGGATATCAATAATGTCTCAAGAACTGAATACAGGCCCTCCATATGTCACAATCCTCCGAACAACCAAAGCTCTCCTAGCCGCACACTTCATCACTCATGTCTCTCACCCCTTTTAGATATTCTCACAGTTACTCCTTAAGCGGAAGTAGCAGAGGGAGCAGCGGTAGACGAGAAGCCGGGAGGAGGTCCTCCAGGTCCGCCAGGTCCGCCGGGGCCGCCGCCGCCACCGCTCTGGTCGACACCACCACCCTCGTAATAGTGCGCAGCAGCGCTGACCTGGTCGTTGTAGTCCGCGGTGGAGTCGATGCCGATGGTGATCCACATGAGGAGACCGTCCTGGAGGTCGTCACCGAGCTTGACGTACTTGAGGAAGGGGTCGAACTCGGCCGTGGCCTCGCCGGCGGCGATGCCGTCCTGGAGGTTGGTGGTAAGGGTTTGGCGGTTGCTGGCGTAGGGCTCGAGGAGCTCGACCTCGGAGATGATGCTCTGGTCGAAGAAGATCTGGCCAATGTTGCGCGCGGTGCCGCCCTCGAAGGTGCTGTTAGGCAGGATCTCGGCGCCGTCGGTGGACATGATGTGGATGTGCGTGGCGCGGCCGGTGTAGTGGCCGGGGAAGATGGTGTCGAACTCGACGACGCCGTCGGAGTCGGTCTGCTGGACGCCACGGCCGTGGGTGGTGTTGAGGCCGCCCTGGCCCTGGGCGGAGACGCCGGAGTAGACGCCCGTGGCGTTGCAGTGCCAGGCGTCGATGAGCTGCTCGGGGACGGCGCCGCAGCCATTGATGTCGATGAACTGGATGTCCAGGTGGACGGGGACGCCGCCCTGGCCGTCGGTGATGTCGGTGCGGATGAGCTCACCCTCGACGTAGTACGGGCCGATGGTGGTCTCGGGGACGAGGGTGCAGGTGGCGTTGGATCCGAAGATCTCGTCCAGGGGGGTGTCGAGGGTGTAGCCGGCGTCCGAGGCGTGGTCGATGGCGGCCCACTTCTCGAGGTCGGCCTGGGCGCGCTTCATCATCTTCTGGCCGTGGAGGCCGCGCTCGGCACGGAGACGCTCGGCGGTGGCGGCGCGGCGGTCGAGGGCGCGCTGCTTGAGGGCCAGGGCGGCGGGGGAGTTGGAGCAGGCATCGAGGGCACGCTTTCCGACGGCGGTCACCTTGGAGCGGAGGGCGAGCTCGGCAGCGATGTCCTCTGCGGTGTGAGTACCGTGGGCAGCGACGTTGCCCAGGAGGGGAGAGATGGCCAAGGCCGCGGCGAGAGCGGTGCGAAGAGCCATTGTAAGTCGGTAAAACACACGGAGGAACAGGCGAGGAGGTTTGGAGTGAAAGACTGAAGGAGGTGAAGAGCCTGATGAGAAGAAAGACTTGGTTGAAGAGGAGAATCACGCCTCTTCTTATAACACCGTCCTTCTTGGCATCTTCATGAACCATGATCTGCATCTCTACGGTGCCTACCGAGCACTCTCGGCCAGCTCCTTGCCATCTCCTTGATCTTTTCGTCTTGGCAATACCATGCTATGCCGTGATCAATGGCCGCCCATCAGGAAACACACATCTTGCAAAAGCAACGACATTCCGCAACGAGTAGAGAAGCAACCCCCGTCCCCACACTCCCGCAGCGGCGTCTCCAAGACATCGTCGTCACCTTCCCTCATCGATGTTTCGCCGGCGGCCAGGGACGTCGAAGAGAGGATGAGTTGGTGGTTTAGCCGCGGAACGTAGCGCCCCTCGGAGGCTAGCAGGGACCAGCTTCCGCCACCCCGCAGGACCGGGGTGAATCTTGTTCGGAGGGGGGGATCGCCTAGGATCATCTAATGTCCAATGACAGCGGACGTAATTCCAATTGCGTTGCGTTGGTCAAATCTATGCGGCACCGTACGTGGTAGTGTAAAGGCATAGTTACAAGGTCAAGAAGGCGTACGGGAACGCGGTGGGGACGCAGAAGGGGAGTGGGTCCCAGGGAGGATCTGCACTCATTTGCGTTTGCCTTACCCGAAACCCCTATTAGTGCGCGATTTATTACCCCTCTACGCCACTTTTTACCATTAATAATGACGCTACTAACGTTAATTAACACGCTTTTTAATATAATTTAGGCTTTTTAATACTATTTAGAGTATAATATATATATAATATCGTAATATTAGAGTAAGATAATAATAATATAGCCTCTATATAACTAATATAGTTATTAAGGTTAATAGTATTATATAGAAGTAAGAATATCTCTTTAAAACTAGGATTTCTACTAATAAGATTAGTAATATAAAAATCCTTCCTACTTATTTTTATTCTCTAAGAAGAAGATTATAAGAGAGAGTTTATATTATATTAACTTTAATCTAACTTAAAATATATTATTTTTAATAAAATAGCTATAATAAGAAGCTTTTAGTTAAGTATAAAAAAGATAATAAACTCCTCTATTAACTTTAAGAAAAGTAAAGCTAGCTTAATTAATAAGAGGTATAGTAGTAATTAAAACTCTTAAAGTAAAATAAATATAAAAAGAAGAGAGTTTTATATTAATAGTAATATATATAAACCTATAATTAAAGTTATTACTTAATAACTTTAGCTATAAATAAACTTTATAGATAAATAATATAACTTATTAGTACTAGAAGTAATAAATAATAGTATTAGTAAGGTTAAAAAAATATAATAGCTAGAAGTTAATAATATTAAAGCTATTATTAAAGTTATTACTAAAGCTATTATTAAAACTACTATAAAGCTACTAATTAATCTTATTATTAAAGAGGATAACCTATTTAATAAGTATTTATTATTACTTCTATTATAATTATTATTATTATTACTACCTCTTATAGAACTTTAAGTTTATATAGAGATTAAGATTTCTATAAATAATATTAAGATATAACTAAATATTAAAGTTAGGGAGATTAAATAAGAGAATATAAATAACTAAGCTAAATATATTATCTATAATATAATTAGAAACTTCTATTATAAGTATACTTTATAATATATTAATTACTCTTTTATATTTAACTCTATTTAAGTTACTTTCCTCTCTAGCTTAAATTATTAAGCTATATTCTCTAAAAAGATATTTTATATTAACTACTAAAAACCTAATAATTAGGACTTATAGCTATTTAAATACTAAGGATAAATTAATAATACTATTAAGAATAATAAAAAGAAGAATAAATTATTATAAGTTAAGATTATTACTCTTACTATATTAAAACTACTTAATTAGTATATATTAGTCTCTATAAGCTATTATTATAAGTCTTAGTAGTTATCTTTAGTGCTATTTAATATAAGTTCTATTTAAATAACCCTTTTAGTTAGAGTAATATTATTTTAAAACTCTATTAAGATATTTTTATAACTTAGTATAACTTTATAAATTTTATATTAAAATAATAACTTTATTAAGTTTATTCCTATTAGGTTTAGTAATATTAGTAAATTATTATATTAATAGAAGTAATAGAGTAATTTATTATTAATTAGTAAGTTAAAATAGAAGAAGACTTAAGATATATA